CTCATGCGCTGATCGAAGTCTTGTCTCTCTTGTTGTGCTGCTGTGAAGAGTTCGATGCCTCGTCGTAGGACTTGATGTCTTCGCTCAAGCACGCTTAGCCGTGTGTGTGCTTGGCCTGGTGAGATCTCCAGTTGTATGCCGAGGTCGCTGGTCCATGTTCTTGTGGTGTCTGAGCTCCATCCTCTGTGGTCGTCGACTTGAAGGAGTGTTGGTGGGCCAAAGTGTCTGATCCATCCTCGTTCAAGTCCTCGGATGAAGTCATCCGATTGTTCAGAGTCAATGACCCGAGCGGACATGAACTTGGTAGTGGCGTCGATCATGCTGAGGACTGGAACTGCTTGTGGCTTGTGGCCATTGTGTAGTCGCGGTAGGTGTATCCAGACTGTGTCTGCTTGTACTCTGCTGTTGAAACTGCCTCCTGTTCGGAGTGTGCTCTTGGCCACTTGTGGTGGTGGTCGGTGTGCATCACACAGTTGGCAGTGATGCTGTTGCGCAGCTGCCACAATCGAAGGACTGGCATTCTTGCTCTTGAGGAGCTTGGCCAGCTCGAGATTGGTGGGGTGCCCAAGGTTCCGGTGGATCCTCTGGACTGTTCTCTGAGCTGCTGACCATTGTGTCTCTTGCAATCTGGTTAGTATGCCTCGATTGTTGTCAAACTGTTCGTCGTTGTCATAGACTTGTGGCTGTTGTTCTGCCACTGCCTGTTGTGGCTGTAATGCTACTTGCTGTTCCGCCGGTTGTACTGCATCATGTTCTGCCGGATATGCTTCTTCGGTGGGTGGCCAGTACTCAGTGAGCATGAAGGTGTTCATGATCTGGGCCCACTCTCTGCACATGTCTGTGTTGTAGCTGCCAGCTGCTGCGGCTCTGTTGCCAATGTGTGGGGAGCTACCCTCAATAGGGAGGTGGTAGTGATTGCTGTTGCAGACTCGCTCGAACATAGTAGCCAGGGTGCTGTCTGTGATGCGTAGGTTCGTTGGCTTCTTGATGTATTGTTCGTAGCCATTGGAGTCTGGCAAGGTTGCTCCATATTGGCATTGGTCCACATGTGCATCATAGCCTTCTAGCTGTTGTAGAGTTGGTGTATCCCAAGATGTTGCGTACTTGGGGTGTTCGAAGATGGAAATTCGCTTTTGCTTGTGTTGCTTGTTGTGGATTGTCTTGCTGAACCGCAAGTGGGTTCCTTCCTCATGCTGCTGCTGTGCTTCCAGTCGTTGCTGGTCGGCCGGTGTTTTGGCGTTCAATCGCTGCAGTGGGGACCATTTGGTGCAAGGTGGTGCAATCCAAACAATCTCTGGGCTCTGGTGGTAGTACAAGTGAATGAATTGCCTCTGGTGGCTGGGTTTGGTAAAGTCCCATCCGCTGAGGATGTCGAAGGTGCGGACTTTGTATCCCAGTTCTTCCATGTGTGTTGCTAGCACTGCGTCACCAGCATAGACTTCCCAGAATTGCATCTGGTGGCTGTCATGTGCTGTGAGTGTTGTCTCGAGGGTGTGCTTGTAGTGTCGTGCCAGCTGTTGTTGATGTAGTCGGAAGCTGCGGACCAGTTTGTCCGTCAAAGTTCTGCGATAGCAGGTGTCATCATCATCTTCTTCTGGGTCTGTGGTGTCGTTTGTGTCTTCTTCGTTGAAGGTGTCGTCCTCATTGGCCTGCATGCCGTGTTCTCCCAAGTCGGGAGGTGCTAGGCCTGTGAGCTCAATGTAGTGCTGGAGCGTGTAGTGCTCTGCTTGTGCAGGGTCTTGTGTCAGCAGGTTGTAGGTCTCTTCCATCATGTAGTCAAACTCATAGTTGCTGTGGTCCGATAGGTCGGTCAGACCTTGATCCAGCTGTAGGAGATGTTCTCCTCTGGAGCCGGTGATGATTGGTGACCATGGGCCTTCATCAACTCGCATGGTGTCTTCCATGAAGTTGAGCTGGAGTTTCATGGCCTTGAGAATTGGCCTGCCGATCAGGAGAGGAGTTGATCCAGTAACAACGAAGGCCTGCGTGCGGCCGAGGTGTCCTTGGATGCATACTGGCATGTGTACTGTCCATTGTGCTTCAAGGCTGTTGTCTCCGCCAAACTGCAGTGTCTTTTGTGCAGGACGGAAGTGGAAGCTGGAAACATCGAACCCTTGTTCGTGGTAGCTTTCGATGTAGTTCATGAGGATGTCATGGCCAAGGACCATGCAGCTTGCTCCACCATCCATGGTGCCGAAGAGTCCCTTTGGGATGCGCTGGTAGTCCTTCATTTCGAATTGGACCATCATGGCGTTTTCGGCTTTGGCCTTTTTGGCGGCATTGGTGGGGCTGTTGGTGGTGCTTCTCTTTTGAGTGCACTGCGCTGCAAAGTGTCCAGGTTGACCACATCGTAGGCATGTCTTGGCTTGGTTCAAGGCTGTGCGGCCTCGACTCTTGGCATCACCTTTTTGTAGAGGTGACTTGGAGCCCTGCCCTTTTCCTTTTCCTTTTCCTCCCTTGGAGCGAGGAGGATATGGCCTTTGAAATGATGTTGGACTTGATGAAGTTGCGCCATCGGTCAGTGCGACCACTGGATAGAAGCCTCTGTTGTTGCGCAGCTCAGCAAAGCGGCGCCTAGCATCCAGGTAGGTGGCATAGGCTTCCTCGTACTCAGGGTCTTCTTGATCCGGGTAGTCCTCATCGTAGCCGGTGTAGTTGGCTGTTTCATCGCCGAACTCTTCATCATATGCTTCATCAGCATACTCTTCTTGAGTTTCCTCATAGTAAGCCTCGTCATACTCAGGCTCATAGGTCTCTTCAGGGTCGTCCATGTAGTCGTCCTCGTGCATGGTGTAGGCCTGAGCTGGTTTCTTCCATTTGTTGAAGCCTTTTCCTTTTCCCCCAACTGGTCGCTGGGAGAGTCCAACCTTTCCCCTGTAGTCCTGGCCGTACAGGTAGTACATGGCTTCTTCAACTTTGCTTTCTTCGAGGCTGGAACCACATTGGCTTTGCACCAAGTGTTTCTGGTCTTGTGAGAGACCGCTTCTTCTCAGCATCAGCCAGCCTGTGATCTCGGTCGGCAATTTGATGCCGTGTTTTTCGACTTCTCGGAGCGCTTCTCGATGTTCAGCGCAATACGACATCAGTGTCTGATCGTAGCGCCTGGTGAGGCTGTAGAAGAACTTCTCGAATGATCTGGGCTGTTCGACCCGTGCATCGTAGCGAAAGGTCTTGTCGAGGATTTCGATCACCTTGGTGAACCCTCCTTCTTTGTCCTCGCTTGCCGATTCAGCTATCGGCTCGACTTGCTTCCAGGCTGTTCCTGACAGGGTTGTCAGGAGGTTGATGACTCCTTCTTGTGGCTTCTTTTGCAGAACCATCTTCTTCTGGTAGAGGTGAATCCGAGCTCTCCATTCCTTGTAATCTTGAGGCCTGTTGCTGAAGGTCGGCACCCAAGAATCTTTACTTGCATCCACACTCGAGGATGCTGCAGCAGGTGAACTTGCCATCGAGCTCGACCGGGAGGTAGTAGCTAGCAGCAAGCACGCAGGAGCCCTGAGCCTTGCGGCTCCGCTACCAATTTGAGGTTGGGTAGCTCAACCGTCGGAAAGTGACTCTCGAAGTTCACGATCGCAAATGAAAACCGCTCTCAAAAGCAGCCGCGGACTTTTCGCGGACTCGTGGCCATCAGGCTTCAAGGTGCGCATGCCCTCCCAGCTATCGGGAGGAAAACAGGTGGTTCGAGCAACAAAGCGGCAAAGCTTCGGCTTCAGTGAACCTGTGCAGCAGCGAAAACATGTGATGGCATCACATTCACACGCCCAAAAGAAACTACCTCCCAGTGCCTGGATGCCACCAAAAAGAACACGGCTCAAATGCTTGCTGCAACTGCCCATCGCCTCACCTGCCGTGCTCTCCGGTACTTTTGTAAGGCCTTTGAGGTGGGAGGACCTGGTCCAAACCCAAAAAGTTGGCAAAATTTGACTATCAAATGGCCCAAAGGATCAAGACCAATCAAAAACCAAACAACAAACACCACCCGAACGGCTGAGCGATGTTTTGGTTGAGCTCCTGAACGAACATCCATTGCCCCTGGACAGCTATAATGCATCACATTTCATAGCTTTATCTGAGAAGGTCAGTCTACTTCTTCCATTTTGGTCTTTGTTCCAACCCAGCACCACCATCGTCAGCCTGGGGCTCCCAGCGAGTGGTTTCAGGACGAGTGGTTTCACGACGGCAAAAAACGTGTGGCTTTTCCCACAAGGCAACGCTGGGATGAGGTCCTTTTTTACGCTGATGGATCATGTGATCAATGTTCTCACGGAAAATATCACACTACTCTTGTTGGAGATGTCTCACTGATGGATACTTCCAAAATGCCTGTGCAGAATCGTCTACTGATGGATATGCTCCCGTTGTGTGGTTGTGTCTGTTTTGCCCCATTGTTTTCGTCGAGAACTGCTCATCAAAACATCATCCTCATCCTCGTGATCTTGGATCGACTTGAACCTGCACAATGCTGTAGATCAGACTATTGCCAATATCAAGGGCAGTTGCTTTTCCTGGCGTTCCACTGGGATGCTCCTGGGACGTCAAAACATTCACAAGAGAGTCCTATGTCTATGTTCAGCTAATGGGGCACTGTGGATGTCCTTAGTACTTCTATGATCTTCAATTGGAAGCGGGTCCCCTCGTTGACATACAGCTTCCTACACGCAGCAAAGGAAGATAAACCACTATAGTCACTAGTCACTGCTGCTTGCGCATCCCCGGAGCTCAAAGACACGCCCAACGGAGCCCTGAGACTTGGAAGTTAAGGAAGCAGCGAATGTCAAGCGTTGATCAAAGAACATTCAGTTGGCGAACAAATTCACTTCTTGGCAAATGTCATGTCCGTTTTCTCAATGTCAGATATGATCAAAGGTCGAGATCGATTCTTCCGCCTCCTCTATCGATTTTGCTTGCATCACTCATCTCCCATCTCCCATCTCTTCAGCTTAAAACCAGCACACCCACCTTCAGCCGCTTCACCACCCAGGACTCCACGGAACGTTCGCCTCACTTGAGCTTCTTGCAAGGCCCCAGACCTCGGACTGCCCAAGGATCGAGGTGTTTGTTGGCCAAGATGGATGAGGTTTATACCGCCGGTACTGGAAGCCAGACAGAACTGGTTGTGTCAAGGGGGTCAGATCCTGTTGATTCACGTTGGAAGTCTGGAAAGAAGTGGATTTTTGCATGGTTTATTCATGTTGGCAGTGGGTGGGGATCCATGTTCCAGTTCCACATGTAGGCAAACACATGGGGTTCATGCGGGTTCATGTTCCATACCTGTAGTCTCAGGATGCCTTGGGTATATAATAATATAAGTGGATGCATGACACGTCAAAGCCTCCACGGAAAGCCCCTACGTGCTCAAAGGGAAAGGACCTGCATCGCCATAGACGAAAGGACTTGGTCTTCCCCACGCTGTTACGATCTCTATAGGAGCAAAATGCTTGCTTTTGGGAAGGGCTGCAAACACACCACCACACTTTCCCTAGATGTCTTTGCGCCTCGCTCAAAGCATATTCCTTCTGGACCATATCATGCTGAGGTTCAACCTCTACCTCAGAAGTTACTTTGAACCGCCATGAACCTCCCATGTTATTGATAAGCCACTCAAGTCCGTATAGTACTTCGGACAGGCGTTATATATTACTCAAACTACTTGAGACCTTTGTAGGGTGCAACAACTACAACAACCTTCCAAAGAACACATCAGGTGAAGGTCCTCAAATCCCCTCTCTCCTGCGGCTTCCGACTCGGCGTCCAAGACCTTCTGCTCCTCCTGGTGCTCTCGCTGTGATGCCTCGGCCTGCTCTCGCTGTGAGATTGGAGGGTGAGATGAGACCATTTCTTTGGACCAGGTTCTGGACTACACTTGCCCTATATATGGCTCCAAGTACCTTCTAAGAAGGTGTTTGAGGTGGGTTTGGAGGGTCCAAATACCTTCTGAGGAGGTACTTGGAGCCCTAGGGTTGCTCAAAGTATGCACCAAAAAACACCAGATGTAAGAGAACCTTCCAGCACCCAAATGCCAGGTCTTCGGGCGGGCCTTTTTGGACTCATGCCCATTCGACATGAAAAGAACACTAAAAGGCGCTTGTTTCTAATAGCTTTTTGTTACTACTAGTAAGGCACCTGTTACTACTAGCGTGGCACTTGTTACTAGTAGCTTACTTAAAAAGGCCCACGAACGCGCAGTGTCTCCGGTGGCACCTGCGGAACCCCCCAACAGTCGCACCCCCTTCGGATCACGATCACGGGTCCGACCGGTGGGGAAGGACGCTTCTGCGGCGGCGCGTGGTCGGTGGATCGAAGCGGGTGATAACCGGGGGGTGTCACAGCTGCGAAGACTTCCATCTGCCAAGCGAAACACCAGTCCCCTCCCTGCTCCACACTGGTCCACACCAGTGCTGGTCAAGAGTCAGAGCTTTCTGTGCATGAGCAAATTCATAAAGGACCAAATTCTCTTAATGCGATTGCCACAAGTCAGAAAACATATCTATGCATTCCTGGCAATCCAAACAACCAGAAATAAATGGCTGCTCCAAGTTTTTTGGCAACTGAGATCTTTTGCACAACGAGTGGTTGTTTGTGGAAACATAATTTCTTTGTTTGTGGAAACCAAGGTTGGTTATAATAGAAACAGCTCGTCGAACGGTTTGTGAATAATCTTCGCTTCACTCCACCGTGTGGCTTAGATTTCCAACGTCACATGAAGAGTTGTCTAGTTGCACATACCGTTTGGAACACCGTGTCTTGCACATACCCTTTGGGCCACCCCAGTGGAACCAGTGCTGTGTTCTACGTGGCCTTCGACAGCAACTCCGCCTGACCGATTCGTGGCAGTCCAAGTCTCGACTGCAGTCCAGCCCGGGCTGGGGAGGTTTGATGCAAGAAGCTGCAACCTCGAATCATTACATCTTCTCCTGGCTCTGTCTTTGACCATCTCTATTTCTGGGAAAGGCTCCAGGAGTGCTGAAAGCTGAGTTGGTCCAGGAGTGGCTGACCTGTCGTTGGTTGTTGGAGTGGTCCACACCTTGGTGGCTGTCAGCTCAGAGTATCTCAGAGTGGTCCCAAACAGAATGGGGTCCCAAGATGTCCACCGCAGAAAGGGGGTCCAAGGATTTGCTGGTAAGGGTGATATGTTCAGATCCATTTGCAAACCACTTGCCTCCACAACTGGCCATTTAAACCCTCAGCAAAAGCAAGAAACATTGGATAAAGCCATGAATCAAAAGAACCCCAAAAGAGCGACCTAAACACCCTAACAGGCCCTAACACATCCCACTCCTCTTTAGCCAAGCAAATTTCAAAGAGACTCTGAGTGAAACCTGAGTGAAACCTGCAGTCCAAGAAGTGGAAGTGGTAAACCTGGCATTTTCGCTCAACAGCAGGGATTCCACCCGAACCCGCTCAGAGTGGCATGCTCGGCCCTCGGCCGACAGAAGGGGCCCAAAAAGTCCCGACTCCAAACCCATTCGTCTAGAGCCACCTCTTTTTCGCCCGCCTTGCCAATTGGCCAATTGGCCGGAGCCTTTGAAGGTGATCCACTTACAACTCAGCTGCTCGATCTGTTCGACAATTGTGTGCAACCCTGACCACCGACAGAGGCCCTGCCAAACCTGGTGGTGGTCCAAGGGGCGTCAAGCCTGTTGACAAAGGTCGTCAGTTGGGCAACTGGAAGACGGGCCTGGGCCTTCGAGACTGGATGGTCGAAGACCGGAATCCCGAAGAAGATCATGCATCTACTTCAGGCAAATCGATCGGTTCGGTACAAAGCACAACAGTTCCTGCCTCGTTAGCTTCACTTCGACCTTCCTTTGAAGCACTTTTCCCCGAACCATGGCCAACACTTTTCCAGGAGATGAGTGTGTGCGTTTTCATCCAATAAACACTGTTGCTCGATGTTGCAGCATGAGCCCTTTTTGCATTGGGACCCGCTTCAACAGCTTTAGTGGACACTATATATAGTAGCACCCAGAACTTCGGCGCAACTTCTCGCAATCACAAAAGTGGCAGTGGGAACTCTCAACTCAGCACCTTTGGTGTTAAAGACAAGGACTTCCAGCGCCATCCCGGCTGGTACTTCGCGATCTTGGGGATGCGCACGAAGATTTCAGCCTTGCGATGGTGAAGGTCCACCGCCTAACATGACCTGCCATGAATCCTTCAACACTCAGGGTCAAGGGGCTAACAAGTGCTCCATAGGGCTACTATATAGAGCTCCTCCTTGAGACTGGATTGTCCAAGAAAACCACTTAGACTTAGATGTGGCACCAAATCCCCCAAAATCATGCATCAGCGTCCAGCTCAATGAGTTCGGTACACGGCACAAACAGTTGCTGGTTCATAAAGGAGGAGGCCAGCTGGGCTTCAGAATGCCAGCAGGTTTAATGAGACACTCACGTGATTACTTCTACCCATGCAGTTCCGACACTCAGCGCCTTCGGGCTATCGAGCTCGAGTCAAAAAATAACACGACCGGTGACACGTCCAGGACTTCTTCATCTGAGTCTGCGGGTGGCAAGTCGTGCCTCTTGAGGTGGGGAGACACGACTCAAGATGTTCGTCTGTCCGATTGGTGCTTGGGTTGGCGCTTCAGAAGCTTGTCATATGCCAAAAATGACGTGACCTAACGTATTTCTTCAATCTGCAGAGTCTTTGGACTCACAAAGTCACAGGCCTTGGTGCCGAAGACGGACCGCTTGGTGCCGAAGCTCCGAGCCGCTTGGACGCCTGGTAGTCGTACTACACCAAGCCTTTGGCGTGGTCACCCCATGCCAGGTGGAGATCAAACCGCAGATTCGTGGGCTGAAAACAACGTGGCAGGCTCCATTGACTCTATGGGTTTCATGGACCTACTAGAACTTGCTAAGAAAGAGCTACAAGGGGCGCACCTGCTCGACCTGAAACGGCACCTGCTCGATGCGCTTGGCGGCGCTTTGATCGATTTCGATCACGAACGCCTCCAACGCGGCAGCTGGAGGATCAATTCTTCGACTTGAGCCAGGACACATCCCTTCATGGTCGATGAGGTGGTTGGTCAAAACTCCTGGTCCTGGTCAATGCGAAAGCCGTCGGAAGGACTGCAAATTCCCACTGCGGTGCTGAGCAAAGAGATTCCTGGAGGCCAGCCTCAAAGGAAAGGGGTATGGCACTGGGTATGGCATACCGACATACTTGTGTATTTGGTGCCCGAAGGACGGCTGCTTTCTGGCCAAGTCTGAGAATCAGCGGGGTGCTAATTCCAAGACCAGCGAGCTTTCCTTTCTCGCCTAAAAGCCTTTCTCTCGTTAAATTGGCCACACCTCGGCCAAGTTAGATGTCCCTCCCCTCGGAGCAACGTGACACCTGACCAAACATGATTCATCACGTCGCTTTTTCTCGAAGTGGTCACGGACTAATCTGAGCTGACTGGCTCTTCACTGCAACACATGGGTTGCTTCT